CTTACTCTTCATCCAATATCGGCGTTGAAGACCTTCGCACTGAGGTCTTAGTCCTTGGTTATCCTGGTTGGAATCCCAATTTGCGCCGTCATAACACACGCAAGTAGATAGGAAATGAGAGTAAACCACCACCATTTACGCACGCCCCTCAGGGTTGACCTCCGAAGTTGGCCTAAATGAGCAATTTCGGCTTCTTGTTTTTGTTCGACATAAATATTCGACAATACTTCCAGCTCTTCACTTCTTTGTGCAAATCCTTGGCGCCTCATACTCCTCCATCTTCTAGGCTTACCTCTGCCAACACTCAGAAGTGGTAGCTCTGTCTGATTTAAGCACATCTATGACTTGGTCTTCGAGGAAGTCATCCGAGAGGAAATTGTCCTGTAATGCGACCTCGTTGGACTAGCCTCATCCACCATCAAAAGCTGTAAGGTTCAAAAGGTAACCTAGTGGCGACTGTTGAATGGATGTTTCGTAACGATCAGGGAAGTACTTATGGAGATCGTGACCCATTTGGCGGTCATCGTAGATATTTTGTGCCACGTCGAGATACAGCAGACCGATTCGAGACACAACAGGTTGATTCACTACCCCGTATGGTCAAAATCACAATGTTTTTTCCCAAATCCTGACTTTTGTCTAGCCTACACTCTGAGTTCGTAATTAGTGCCACGCGTAGGCATTGGCACAGTCCGATGGTGGAATGCAACCCTCACAGGTAGGCTCTTATCAGGCACTTTGTGCTTGGAAGGCAAAAAAGAAACTGGCTTCCTGCAGTCCCTTTTTCTCAGTTGTCATTCAAAGCGCTACTTGACTGCAATAACTTCTCACTACACAACATGCTTTGATCTCGGATGGGCGTCTAAGATCACGCGATTTCAATTGGTGGAGTTTGCAGCAATGCCTCGTGGTGACTTGTAAAATGCAGGTGGTGAGATGGGGTGGGGGATGCATACCACCTTGACCGAGTCTCGTTATTAGAAAATAACAAATGAACCTGAGGGAAAGGCAATTTGGTGTTGTGTACTACTTCAAGAACCCAGTTTATGTTGGTTCTGAGTGGCAGATGCATCGTGGATAGGATTCCCAAGGAAGTGACGGGCTTGTGACAAGAAATGTCTTTTGTTTATTGAAAGTATTTCCAAAAAGTGCTAAGTGGACGAATGCTTAAATAGATTGTGTCCAAACAATCCACAAGCGCCACCGAAACCGTCCCATACCTCCAAACCACACACCACTTCATTCCCACAAGATCGTCCCTACTTCATTCGTGCCCATGGCTACCTTTACATTTGGCTGCATGACTGTGCTTGTTTGCATGTTTGTTTGATGTACTGTGGTGTGCCAAATTGTTCACTAGAATTTATTCACTTCCACTTCCATTTCCCCCTCCATGAGTCCAATCACTTACGCTCCAGATGTCTCTCTCATTACCAATGACAATCCAGTCTGTATCCTTGCAGTCTGGATGGTGGCAGTGGGCTCTGTAGTGGGTGTTCATACCCCCACACCACCGTGTGACCCTAGGGCACCTCGTGATTTCGGTACTGCCGATGGGAAAGTGCACAACCATTTGATCTGACCCCACCGCCTTATTTACGTTATCTGTCACCTCCAATTTGTGACTTCTCTGCCTGTCCAC